ACATTACATACATACATACATACATACATACATACATACATACATACATACATACATACATACATACATACATACATACATACATACATACATACATACATACATACATACATACATACATACATACATACATACATACATACATACATACATACATATACATACATACATACATACATACATACATACATACATACATACATACATACATACATACATACATACATACATACATACATACATACATACATACATACATACATACATACATACATACATACATATACATACATACATACATACATACATACATACATACATACATACATACATACATACATACATTACATACAGACATACATTACATACAACATACATACATACATACATACATACATACATACATACATACATACATACATACATACATACATACATACATACATACGTACATTACATACATACATACATACATACATACATACATACATACATACATTACATTACATTACATTACATTACATTACATTACATTACATACATACATTACATACATACATACATACATACATACATACATACATACATTACATACATACATACATCCATTACATTACATTACATACATACATACATACATACATGCATACATACATACATACATACATACATACATACATACATACATACATTACATTACATACATACATACATACATACATACATACATACATACATACATACATACATACATACATACATACATACATACATACATACATACATTACAAACATACATACATTACATACATACATACATACATACATACATACATACATACATACATACATACATACATACATACATTACATACAACATACATACATTACATACATACATACATACATACATACATACATACATACATACATACATACATACATACATACATTACATACATACATACATACATTACATACATACATTACATAACATACATACATACACACATACACACATACATTACATTACATTACATTACATTACATTACATTACATTACATACATACATACATTATATACATTACATACATACATACACACACACATACATACATATTTACATACATACATACATACATGCATTACATACATTACATACAGACAGACAAACAGACATACATACATACATTACATACATACATACATACATTACAAACATACATTACATACATACATACATTACATACATACATTACATACATACATTACATACATACATACATACAGACAGACATACATTACATACATACATACATACATACATACATAACATAACATAACATACATACATACATACATACATACATTACATACATACATACATACATTACATACATACATTACATAACATACATACATACACACATACACACATACATTACATTACATTACATTACATTACATTACATTACATACATACATACATTATATACATTACATACATACATACACACACACATACATACATATTTACATACATACATACATACATGCATTACATACATTACATACAGACAGACAAACAGACATACATACATACATACATTACATAATCACATAAATACATACATACATACATACATACATACATACATTACATACATACATACAAACATACATACATTACATTAAATTAAATTTCATTACATTACATTACATACATACATACATACATACATTACATACATTACATACAGACAGACAAACCGACATACACACATACATACATTACATAATCACAGAAATACGTACATATATACATACATTACATGCATACATACAAACATACATACATTACATTAAATTACATTACATTACATTACATTACATTACATTACATACATACATACATACATTACATACATACATACATACAGACATACATACATTACATACATACATACATACTTACATTACATTACATTACATTGCATTGCATTGCATTACATTACATTACATTACATACATACATACATACATACATTACATTACATTAAATTACATTACATTACATTACGTTGCATTACATACATACATACATTGCATACATACATAGATACATACATACATACATACATTGCATACATACATACATACATACATACATACATACATACATACATACATACATACATACATACATTACATACATACATTACATACATACATACATACATACATACATACATACATTACATACATACATACATACACACATTACATACATTACATACATACATACATACATACATACATGCATACATACATACATACATACATACATACATGACATACATACATACATACATACATACATACATTACATACATTCATACATACATACATACATACATTACATACATACATACATACATTAATTACATTACATGCATACTTACATTACATTACATTACATTACATTATATTACATTATAC